CGGTTCATCATCTGCTGTAGGGAAATAACGAGAAGAATATCAAAGTGCAGTAAACGGTAAAACTGTTACAAACCAGTGTGTTTGTAATTAATACAATACATTAAAATAATATGGTAAGACATTAGGGTTCTGATGGTGAGGAAATTTTCCCACCGGTTAATCGACCTGTGACAACTCCGGTAATACCGGTATCACCGCGGGGGCGGGGGCGTTCCCTCTTTTCCTCGCTTTCCTTCCCTTTTAAATAGCTTGTAAAAGCTGAGTGCGCATTTTACTTTCACTTTCAAATAGCGGCAATTCAGCGTAAAGCAATTGTTCGTTTGAATTTCCCCTCTCATGGTCTTGTCTGTCTCACCTCACTCTTCTTGTCTGTCTGTCTCGCCTCACTCTTCTTGTCAGTCAGCTCGACTCTCTCTCCTCACCTGAGAAATGAAATCTGATCTGTGATGCGACTGTCGTTCGGCACGCTGCATTGAGCAGCCGCGTTCAGTTTTTAATTGTAGTGTCTGTTCTTTTACTGAACTAAATGATTTTTATTACTATAAAAAATCTAAACGACGGTGGGGGTCGGTGCCGCGGTGGACAAGTGACATAACCGGTGTTGCGGCTTAACACCGGTATCACCTCAGCACCATTTACAAATATCTGTGGTCATTCTAACCTGAAATATAAGGTGGATATAAACTCGCAGTTCTGAGAAAAGAAGTCAGACTTGCGAGAAATTGCAGGATATACTGTAACCTTGCATTTGCGAGAAATAAAGTCAGAATTGTGAGAAAAAAGTCAGAATTACCTATTTTATTTTTTATGCAGTAGCAGAAACGGGCTTCCGTATGAATGTACGTCGGATTTTTAATAAATGAATTAACTTTTTAAAATATATTTCCATTCACTATTGAAATAATTGAAATGAATTAACATTTCAGTTCAGTGATAAATTTAACAGCACTAACTATGCACAGATTTGCTGCATGTTTACCGCTACCGGTGAAAAAATACACATTTGCCACAAAAGAAATGTTATCTTTAAAGCTTGCTGCATATGAGCAGTTTTTTCAGTGTAAATGTAGTTGACGGTGGTTGCCGTCTTTGACAAAGGCTGGAGGAATCTCGCCCCCCCCCCTCTCTTTCTCTTCTCCTGTCTCTGTCTCTCTCTCTCTCTCTCTCTTTTTCTCTCTGTGTTTTCGGTGGTGGAGGGGGGCATTGGGACCAGCCGGTGACCTCAGGCCCAAAGAATGTCCCCGTTTACTCAGACCTCTCTCTGTCTCTCTCTCTGTGTTTTTGTGTTGGGAATCTGGCCCTCCCCAGACATTTGTCAGCTCCAGAAATCTCAGTGATCTCAGCGTCGTTTGTTGTGTTTACTCACGTCTACAAACATCCTCCTCTTACATTGCCATCTCAAATCTTTATCATTTGCACCTTTTTATTGCAATTACTGAGGACATTTCAAGTGGTTCTTGATGGTGCAAAACTGCAGGTGTATTGCTAGGGTCTTTTAGATGTAAAAAAATAAAAAGTTCTTCTGGTCTCTATATGGCTCATGTTCCTCCTCCGCTGTGCGTCTTTGGGATTTTTCACCTGATTTATGGTCCAGCAGGTGAAAACCGTGCATCTGCATCACTAATTGAAAGTCTTTCCTCAAGTCTGCATGTGAATCACGCTTTATCACTCTGAATTAACTCGAGTGTTGGTTTCACTGTCGGCCCGCTGGCTGTTTGAATGTGTCATGTGCATAAATTTCGGGATGGTGAAAAGAAGCGAGATGTCTGCCTTGAGCGCTGTAAATTAAGGGACGGGGAAAAGGGTCAGACTGATTTATGAACTCTGTGCATGTGTGAGAGAGAGAGAGAAAGATGAGCGTTTGGTGGTTTTTGTGTGTGTTTGAATGCGATGCAGAAGTCCTAGTCTCGTGCAGTCAGACTAGTGGCATAAAGTCCCATCGCTGCTTCTGGACAAGAAACACCCCCATTTAGACAGAAACACGGTAAACGACCAGCCACAGTTTGCATTTGTTTTTAGGCTGGTACAAACCTGTACACCCTGATTCTAGGAAAAGTAGGGCGTTTTATTTTTCCCAAACTCTCAAGCGTTTTTTCTATTTACATTTTTCTGGATTTTTTTTCCCTTTTAATATTTCTGGACAGTTTTAATGTTTCATCTTCAGTTTTAATGGTTGAATTTAATTGTAGTCTTCAAAAAGCATGTCTAATTAATTGAAATCATGAAACTTTTACAATTGATCAACAATTTATTAAAAGTTTTAAAAAACTTAAATTTTCTTTAGGGCCCTGGAATGAAATACGTTATATTTTTTTTCTCAAATTCTGTTTCATTTTTACCAAATTCTGTGTTTTCTGTTTAATTTTTTCTGCATTCCATTTTAATGTTTTAATTAAATTTAAAAAAATCAATCAAAAAGTATTATTAAATTGAATTCATAAAAACAGCGTAATTATTTTTTGTTTTTGCAATAATAGGGACCTTTGAAATGTTTTTTTCCTGTGTTATGTTTGTTAATGTTTCTGTTTTGAAGGCATAAAACATTAATTTATCTTTTAATCAAATGAAAATTACGTCTTTGACAAAGGCTGGAGGAATCTCGCCCCCCCCCTCTCTTTCTCTTCTCCTGTCTCTGTCTCTCTCTCTCTCTCTCTCTTTTTCTCTCTGTGTTTTCGGTGGTGGAGGGGGGCATTGGGACCAGCCGGTGACCTCAGGCCCAAAGAATGTCCCCGTTTACTCAGACCTCTCTCTGTCTCTCTCTCTGTGTTTTTGTGTTGGGAATCTGGCCCTCCCCAGACATTTGTCAGCTCCAGAAATCTCAGTGATCTCAGCGTCGTTTGTTGTGTTTACTCACGTCTACAAACATCCTCCTCTTACATTGCCATCTCAAATCTTTATCATTTGCACCTTTTTATTGCAATTACTGAGGACATTTCAAGTGGTTCTTGATGGTGCAAAACTGCAGGTGTATTGCTAGGGTCTTTTAGATGTAAAAAAATAAAAAGTTCTTCTGGTCTCTATATGGCTCATGTTCCTCCTCCGCTGTGCGTCTTTGGGATTTTTCACCTGATTTATGGTCCAGCAGGTGAAAACCGTGCATCTGCATCACTAATTGAAAGTCTTTCCTCAAGTCTGCATGTGAATCACGCTTTATCACTCTGAATTAACTCGAGTGTTGGTTTCACTGTCGGCCCGCTGGCTGTTTGAATGTGTCATGTGCATAAATTTCGGGATGGTGAAAAGAAGCGAGATGTCTGCCTTGAGCGCTGTAAATTAAGGGACGGGGAAAAGGGTCAGACTGATTTATGAACTCTGTGCATGTGTGAGAGAGAGAGAGAAAGATGAGCGTTTGGTGGTTTTTGTGTGTGTTTGAATGCGATGCAGAAGTCCTAGTCTCGTGCAGTCAGACTAGTGGCATAAAGTCCCATCGCTGCTTCTGGACAAGAAACACCCCCATTTAGACAGAAACACGGTAAACGACCAGCCACAGTTTGCATTTGTTTTTAGGCTGGTACAAACCTGTACACCCTGATTCTAGGAAAAGTAGGGCGTTTTATTTTTCCCAAACTCTCAAGCGTTTTTTCTATTTACATTTTTCTGGATTTTTTTTCCCTTTTAATATTTCTGGACAGTTTTAATGTTTCATCTTCAGTTTTAATGGTTGAATTTAATTGTAGTCTTCAAAAAGCATGTCTAATTAATTGAAATCATGAAACTTTTACAATTGATCAACAATTTATTAAAAGTTTTAAAAAACTTAAATTTTCTTTAGGGCCCTGGAATGAAATACGTTATATTTTTTTTCTCAAATTCTGTTTCATTTTTACCAAATTCTGTGTTTTCTGTTTAATTTTTTCTGCATTCCATTTTAATGTTTTAATTAAATTTAAAAAAATCAATCAAAAAGTATTATTAAATTGAATTCATAAAAACAGCGTAATTATTTTTTGTTTTTGCAATAATAGGGACCTTTGAAATGTTTTTTTCCTGTGTTATGTTTGTTAATGTTTCTGTTTTGAAGGCATAAAACATTAATTTATCTTTTAATCAAATGAAAATTAATCAAACCTATTTAGCATTTAACATTTTTAGCAAACAAATTGCTGCACAACATATGTTTAAACGTAAAACATGGATGAAATTTTTTTTATTATTCCTTAAAAATATTTTAATAATGTATTATTATTATTAAGATGTACATTCAGTTGGACAGTACTAATATATTTCTGTCACAATTTCTTCAAGTTAACCCAAACTTTTATTTTGGCAGGTTGTCGTGAAGACTTTTAAGTTTCTGTGTGCGTATGATATGATGATAGTTTTTCTCAAATTAAATGGTAAAATGCTCATAAAAGTGACTCTCTGAGCAGCTCTGGAAATTAAGTTTGTCACCATAAACGGACGGCAGATGCTAAAAACACTGTGAGTGTAGTAAACAAAACCGCGCATCTGTGCCATTCACAGACACTAGTCCACATCTCGATTTGATGTACTGTGTACTGATCTACTTTGATTTATTCATCCAAAGTTTGACAAATTCTATGACATTCCACGTTATATAGTACACTTCATTTTTATGAATGGATTCCATGATTCTGTCTGCTTTTTACCCATCATGGAAATTATAGTGCCCTACGACAGACCAGGGTTTGCATTTGTTTTCAGGCTGGAATAAACCTGTGCATCCTGATTCTAGGAAACACTGTAAACACTGTAAACAGAACCAGTCAGATTTGAGCTTTTGAAGTGTTTTTGTGAGGCTGCTGGTTTTTGTTGTGGGAATGAACACAGCTGTTCACTTAACACGCATCAGAGATACGTGTTAACATATTTCATCCTTTCAATCATTTGATGTTGCCAATTAAAAATAAAAAAGCTAGTTTGTTGTTTGCAAACACACAGCATGAAGACACATGGAGTTTCTTCTACAACAGTTTTTGCAGCATATAAGATGAAACTTCTGACGTGGTAGCATAATTTGATCTTTTTTCCCCACTCAGGACGGAGGCTACGAGGAAAGGCTTTCTATAATATTAATGGAAAAGTTTACTGTGAGGAAGACTTCCTGGTGAGTATGAGAGTTCAATTCAAACTTATGATGCATTTACATGATGCCAGAGTTACAATAGAGTTTCTGAGTTGTAAAAAATTTTACTTTGTCAAACTAAGATTTTTGTAACGCTCTTTTCTGCTCACCAAGGCTGCATTTATTTGATCAAAAATGCGAAATATTATTACAAATTGAAACAGCTGTTTTCTACACTGTAAAAAATGATTGTGATTTTAACAGTAAAAGACTGTAAAACTGCTACAGTAAAAACCTGTTAATTGGTTTGTCAGTAACTTTCCATACTATATACGGTAAATAACTGTAATTATATTTAATGTAATTTTACAATAAAATACTGTTAAAATTACGGTTTTTGGAAGTGAAAAAGAAAAACTCATTGTATAATTTACAGTGAAAAACCATAAATTGACACTCCCAGAATTCCCTGCATGACACTTCATATTTTTAGTTTTTTCATTGAAATAACTGTTTCTTTTTAGTTTTTTCTTATCAGTTGTGTACATTAGGGCTTTATCTTACATCTAATGTTGTTAAATTAATGCTTACTGTATTATTTCAGTATCATGTGTGTTACCATGTTGGGGTTTAGTGTTTGTGTGAATGACACTGTGCACCTTCTCTCTCTCTCTCTCTCTCTCTCTCTCTCTCTCTCTCTCTCTATATATATATTAGTATTTCCCTTCTCAGCTTGTGGAAGAGCTGTTTGTAATGAGCTTTGATTCATCATGTGACTTTCTCATCACCACCTGTTTTTTTGGTGGTTATCAGTATTACAATAGTTCAAAACAGATATTAGTACTTCAGTATGCTGGTTTATTAACATTACATCAGTAAATGAAATACGTTTTTTTATTGTGAAATTAAGTTAAGTCTGTAAAACCTAAAATAGTGCTACCATGTTTTTAACAGTGAAATTCTGGCAACCACAGCTGCCGGTATTTTACCGTAAATGTCACAGATTTTTTTTTACAGTGTATGTGAACATATTTTAAACTGTAATGTATTTCTGTGATGCGCAGCTGTATTTTCAGCATCATTCCTCCAGTCTTCAGTGTCACATGATCTTCAGAAATCAGTATAATATGCTGATCTGCTGCTCGAGAAACATTTATGATTATTATCAATGCTGAAAACAGTCGTGCTGCACAATATTTTTGTGGAAACCGTGATGCATTTTGTTTTTCAGGATTCTTTGTTCAAAGTTCAAAAGAACAGCATTTATTTGAAATAGAAACTTTTTGTAACATTATAAATGTCTTTACTCTCACTTAACGCACCCTTGTTGAATAAAAGTATTAATTTCTATAAATAAATCATACTGATCCCAAACTTTTGAACAGTAGTAGTATTTAGGGCTGCACGATTGACAAAAAATTAAAATCACAATTGTTGATTATTCCCTTGAAATTGTAATTGCGATTATTAATTACGATTATCACAATTTACATTGAATGATGTTTATACCATTGTTTGAAGCAACCATATTTTTATATGAAAATAAACAAGCTGAAAACACTCAAACTGAAAAACTTTTATTGCTTTTCTGTAGTATTAAGCCTCAAATGTCAACTATACATCGGATTGGTTTCTTCTTTAAAAGTAAACATATGCATGGTATTATATAAATTAAAACAATGGAAAAACCTTTAAGATAACCTGTAGAAAGAAAAAAAAAACACAGGCACTCAGAATAACATAAGTGGACTTTGAACGATTAATTGTGGCATCCATAATTGTAATCGCGATTAGAAATTCAATTGATTGTGCAGCCCTAGTAGTATTGAAGTTTCAACTTGAAAGTTGTGACATTTAAAAGAACGGCCTCCTTTCATGTAATGCTTGATATGTCACTGTAAAATGTTGTTTCTTGATGTGCTTTGTTCTTAAATATCTTGCAAGAACATCTAGAGGTAATTTAATGTAGTGACTAAACATTTTTTCCTGTCATTGACAACAAAGCCACATTTTTTTGTTGCTATAGAAACTATTAATTTTTGAGCCTGAGCACATGAACGGCTTAGAATCTCATAATTACAGTAATTCCAACACAATGTGAAGCATTAGTCCATTAAAACCCTTCTAATGAAAGCGATGTGCCTCTGTATAGAAGGCCGAGAGTGTCGTCCCTGTCATGGATTGATCTGCTGTTATAGATGCTCGTGCTGTAGATCATGTCCTCACTTGACGTTTGAAGTCTTGCTGTAAGTTAGAGTTACACCAGCTGTAGGATCTCAACAATGTAGCTGTAATGCTTCATTTAATTTAACGTTTCCTAAGAGGGAGGTGGAGACTGGGGTTGTATCGATTAGTGCTCATTAGTGGATAGATGGATGTCTAATTCTCTTGGGAGAACAGATGCTGTAGCTTCGCCCACCTCCAATATGATCCTATTCTGCCTAAAGCCAGACACACACACACACACACACACACACACACACAGTCAGGAGTGATAGGAAGACAGCAGATCCATCATGAAGGAATCAACTTCCTGTGTGAAATCTGCTTCTGTCAAATGTTATTGTCATTTTGATATTATTGCCACTAGACTTTCATGTAACAGTCTTGATAGTACAAAAACCAGTTACAATTACTTGGTCTGTATGTATGTATGTATTTATTTTATTTTATATAACTGGTCATTATTTGGCATTTTGAGAGTTTTATTTTTTTATTGCATTTTATTTATTGTTGTATTATTTTAATATTTGTTTAATATATTAATTTTATATATAGTATTATTGGAATATTTTTATTAACAAATATTATTTTTAGATATTTAAATATTTTCGGAATTATTTGCACACACACTCACACACATATTTACATATATATATATATATATATATATATATATATATATATATATATATAATG